CTCGCTAGGACAGCTCTGGTAGGACACCTCTCAGTCGGAGGGTGGAGTCCATGTGCATATGCCTTCTCTGCATGCTAGTTCAGGGGAGAAAATGCAGGAAGCCTAATCTGGCCTCAAGTCCAAGTTTCTCGCTAGGACAGCTCTGGTAGGACACCTCTCAGTCGGAGGGTGGAGTCCATGTGCATATGGCTTCTCTGCATGCTAGTTCAGGGGAGAAAATGCAGGAAGCCTAATCTGGCCTCAAGTCCAAGTCACTTTCTCTAATCCAGCTTTATGAGTAACAAAGTGGGGATTTGAACTCCATCTCTTTCCTCAGTCTGTTTTTAAATTTATTCAGAACCCAGAGGGGACAAGGTGTGAATGATTAGTACTTCCTAGGACCCCAGCAAAATATGGATTGCCCAGCCCTTGCTAACTGGCAGCTGTTTGTCTTTCTGGTAGGGTGGAAGAATGAGGTTATTTATAGCTACTGAAGTGGCTCATCTTGGCTGAGGATAAGTCATCTTACGGTTTAATTCTGAATTGAAGATTTTATTTAAAATGAGATTTCAAAGCAACAGGGGTTTTCTAGGTGGAAAAATTCATCCCAGAATCACCTGAGTTTATCTACAGTGTTTTATGGTGCAATTTATTTCATAGAAACACAGGACTCCAACTCACAGAGTTCAGCCCTCCCAGCTGATTATGAAGTTTCCCAAGACATCTCTCCAATGTGTCCAGGCTCTGTTTAGCCACCTGTGGTGATGGGGAATTCACTCTGTCTCTGGCCAGTTGACACCATTTGGTACCAACTTTACTTGTTAGAAAGTCCTTTGCACGTTGATCTGAAATGTGCCTCCTTGTGGTTTCTTTCATGCATCTGCTCTCTCAGGCAGCTTTATCAATGAGCTATTGCCACAATAATGCTGCATAACAAAAACTCAGTGGCAAACAGCAATAAGCATTTATTCTCACACTTGTTGCTCTGTACATTGATTGTGGATTGGCCGATCTAGGTTGGGCTTGTTGCCATGTGGCTGTGTGTCTAGCTGCAGGGATGGCTTGATTGAACTGTTGGCTGGAAGGCAGGTGTCCTCCATGTGTGTTTATTCTCGCACCCAAGCTGAAAGGGACAGCAGCTACCTGGGGCACATTCTTCTTCTGAACGGTGGCAGTACTGTAAGAGAGCAAGCCCCACTAGGCAAGCACATTTTAAGCCTTTGCTTGAATCATTCTATTAACATCCTGTTGACCAAAGCAAGTCATGGTGGAGCCCAAAGTGGAGAGATGAGGACATACCCTCTGCTTCTGCTGGGTGGAACTGCAGATCCAGTGGCAAAGGACATGGATCTAGGGAGGGGTGGAACTGGAAATAACCATTTAATCTGTCAAAGCAACTCAAAAGAGGCTCGCTTCCTGTCTATGAGGCAGCCTTTTAATGCTTGGAAATAGTATTTATGTTTTGTGCAAATAGTAATAATAGCATAGACTTTGAAGTTGGAGAGAATCTGGGTTCCTCTCTCCCTGTCTGAGTGTCCCAGGACAAATCACTCAATCTTTAAATAAAATAAAAATCCTCTATGTCCCAGGGTCAATCTGAACGTTGAACTGAATCATATGTAAGTAAGGCACCTCACATCAATGCTGGTGCCCAAGCACTTAGCAAGTGTTACTTGCCTTTGTTCCACCTGAATGTCTTCCAGTTGGTTCTCACATTTCATCAGGGTCTTCCTTGCATACCTGAATATACTCTACTTTTATTTGTTCTCCTTTAATCTGTGGTTCTTTGTACTGAATGCAAGACTCCAGGTGGAGTATGTTGGAACAATGGCATCTCCCGCACTGTAGAGTTTCTGCCTCCACTGAAATGGCCCAAGCTTGCATGATGTTCTATTTTATCTCATTTACCTGTGGAGATTGCAGTTAACTAAATTCCTTGGTTTTTATGTCATGCTTCCTTCAGGAACTTCTGGATATAATATTTCTTCTAAAAAATGCTTATAGACTACCTTATAAAAATACTTCATACATGTCACCATTTTTTTTATTTTTTAAACAACATGACCAGTAAGGGGATCTTAACCCTTGAATTAGTGTTGTCAGCACCACGCTCTCCCAAGTGAGCTAAACGGCCATCCCTATATAGGGATCCAAAACCGTGGCCTTGGTGTTATCAGTACCACGTTCTCCTGAGTGAGCCATGGGCCAGCCCCATGTTACCATCTTTTAATTCTTAAAATCATCTTGTTGAATAGAGGTTTTTAAGCCCAATTACAGAAGAGGATACTCAGGCTCAGAGAGGATATGTGGCTTCCTCAGGGTCAACCAGACCCTGCTAGAGTGACTTGATCTCCGGCCACAGCTCTGGCCACCATGTTTATGGGTACAACTGATTTTCAGAAGGCTTTTCTTTCTCTCTCTTTGTCTCTACTTTCCAACCCCTTTGTGGGTCTCCAGGATCCTTTATGATGGTGAACAGCTCTGGAAGAGCCTCTGGCCAGAAGGCCCACCTTCTCCTGCCAACCCTGAAGGAAAACGACACACACTGCATCGATTTCCATTACTACTTCTCCAGCCGTGACAGGTCCAGCCCAGGGGCCTTGAATGTCTATGTGAAGGTGAACGGTGGACCCCAGGGGAACCCTGTCTGGAACGTGTCCGGGGTCGTCACTGAGGGCTGGGTGAAGGCAGAGCTCGCCATCAGCACATTCTGGCCACATTTCTATCAGGTATGGCATTTGACTGTGGTTTGATTTTTAAAAAGTAGTAATAAATCTATATACCTACTACCATCGGTGCCTTTGTTAGGTCTAGAAAAGACTTCATTTATTCATTCACTTACTCAGCTCTTGTGTTTACTGGGCTTCTCCTCCTAGCCAGGCCTCGCAGATGCGGATGATTCAACAAGGCCTCTGCCTCCCTGGAGATCGTGGTCTGGAGGAGGAGACTGATGTGTAAATAAACAATTACAATATAGCAGCATGCATGTGGCTCCCCAGGATGCCGGAGGGACATGGACATTGGAGGCTTTTATAAACTGAATGCTTCCATCCACCTGATGAGGGAGGTGCTCTCCTATCCCTACTGTGTAGAAGGAAACCTTGAGGTTCAGAGAGCTGAGCTCATGCATCAGAGCTCACCCCTGGTGGAGGGGGTTTGGTGGGGAAGGCAGTTAGAATGGCTTCTAAGAGGAGATGGTGGGTAGGTGAGTCATGAAGGATGAATACAAATTTATTGGGAAAGGTAGAGGAAGGCATTTACGTTGTCAGGGACAGTGTGTGTGATGTGCTGGTGGAGTGAGTGACAGATTATGGCAGAGTTTGGAAACTTTTTTGTTTAAGGGTATGTTGCAAAAAGGATATACAAAGAGGTAAGCTTTAAAGTGGCAAGTAGGTCATGAGGGTCTTTGAGTGCCCGGCAAGGAGAGGATTTTTTCTGTAGTCTAGAGTACTGCTCCAGGTCATCTTGGCCTGGGACTATTGAAAGTTCTTTTTAAAAACACCATTATTATGCTAAAATTTACAGGTCATAGAATCCACATGTTTTAAGTGTGCAATCCAATGATTTTTGGTAAACCTACTGAGTTGTGCAGCCATCATCATAAGCCATTTTCATTATCCCAGTGAGAGCTCTTTGCCCATTTGCAGTTAATCTCTGTTGACCTCTTGAAAGACTTTAAGACAGAAAGTGACATAGTCAGATCTATATTTTGGAGTAATTTTTTTAGTGTCTGAAGCAGAAGATGGACCTGAGGATGGCAAGATTAGTGGCCAGGGACTTCTTAGAAATCTTCCAGTTCAACATCCATGGTATGGTCATTTCAGATTTTAGTGTTAGGAAAACATTTATCTGTCGAGATCACCTGCTGGGTTTACCTTAATGAGACAATCCAAGCTTTACTTCCCCTTTGCCTTGGCAACTACAAATTAGAATTTAATACTCAATTACTTTCAATACTTAGCCTAGATTTTTGCTATACATATTCTCACTTTATCATTTCTGGCTTGTGATTTCTTTATAGAATAATTTTATTGTCCTTTGTTATACATTTCCTGAAATTTCTTCTAGAAATAGGGTAGAGATGATGTTGATGGCAGTGGTGGTGATTGTAAGTTGATGAGAGTGATGATAACTACCTTCCCTTGAGTGTTTATCATATTCTGTGCAGGCACGGAAAAAATATTTTAAATACATTAACTTGTTTAATTTTCAAAATAATCCTTTGAGACAAGTGCTGTCATACCCATTTTATAGATGGGAAAACTAAGGCTTAGAAATGGTGAATGATAATTCGAGCTCACATGGAGATAGAGCCTTGTTTTATACCAATTCTAAGCTTGTGCATCCACACTCTAAGCTTGTGCATCCACACTCTAAGCTTGTACAGTTCAATATAAATGTAAGGCGAGTAATATACAAATTTTTAGTAGCTATATTGAAAAAGTAAAAAGAAACCAGTGAAATTATTTTAATAACATATTTTACTTAGCCTCATATTTCCGAAACACTATCACTTCAACATGTAATCAATGTAAACAATTATTAGAGAGATATTTGCCATTTTTTCTTTATAAATCTTCACCATGCAGTGTATATTTTACACTTACAGCAAGTCTCAATTTGAATGCTACATTTTCACTGGAAATAGTGATCTGTATTTAGATTTCATAAAATGTACAGTTGAAGAAGCAGATTCATATACATAAGTTGTTCTAAACATACTTAATAGTTTTCCAATCACCAAATTGATTATCAGTTTTTAAATTTGAATTAAAATTAAATAAAATGAAAAAATTCCCAGTCTCACTAGCCACATTTCAGTAGCCACATGAGGTAAGAACTTCCATACGAGACAGTATAGGCTGAGACTCTGAACCACTTGGCTGCACAACTCCCGCTAGTAGAGTTCTTAAAAGGCTCAGCCACTCCTGGAGGTTGTGGGGAGTGGGGGGTGGATGAAGAGTGTTACTCCAAAGCTAGGCTCTCAGAAGGGACCTGGCCTTCGCCCTTTGTGGTGTGCTGTTTCTGCTGATTCTCACACTCCATCGCTGGAGAATCATGCAGCTGCCTCTTGTAGCCTCTGGATCTGGGTCTGAGGATTTTCTTAAGGTTTGCATGTTGGATTACTTTGCCAGGAGACTTAAAGGAGTGGATAATAAGACAACATATTTGCAGCAGGGACTGTCAAACAGCAAAAGTTACTCCCAAGACCCCAGAGAGCTGCAAACACCTTGGGAGAGGGGCCTGAGTAGTCATGTTCGTGAGCACATTTCTTTTGGTTTTCCCCCATTTTCACCTCCTTTGCCCATCCATGGGGTGGCAAAGGTGCAGAGGCAGAAAGTAAGGAAAGTTAAGAAGAGCGCAGAGAGGAAAGAGGAGCCTGAAAGAGAAGAGAGAAAGAGAAAGAACACATTCTAACTTCGGTGAGGATGGTTGAGTGGTTATATCAACGTCTTTGCAGACTGTAGCTCAGCTGCTCACTCAGTTTATATGTCCATTTGTCAATCAGTGAGCAAGCATCCTGTCTGAGCCAGGCCAGGGCCCAGCATCAGCAATGCAGGTGTGAGCTGGGCCACACCTGGCCCCATAACGGTCAGTGCGGGCTGTGTCATTTTGGGTCAGGTTAAGCCCCTCTCCCTTCTTTAGAATAGCATAACTGATCAGTAGAAGTGGCTAGCAGGAGAGTCCTTGTTTTTAACAGTGTGAGGGGTTTTATCCTAGATTCTTTGAGACAAATAATGTACCTTCGGCCTCATTGTTTCTGTGTGTCTTTCCCTTTTGTGCAGTATGTTTTAACTAGTATCAGATCCACAAACCTTTATCTGAAACTCATGGTGTCAGATATGTTTCAGAATTCAGAATTTTTGGAATTTAATGAGTAATATATTTACATATATTGTATGTTTTATAACACCCCCAGTAGGCTCTGAGGCAGCACCCCATAGTCAAATATACTAGTCTTCCTACAGCAAAACTCACATATGTTCACGAGATGTGGGATAGATAAAAACCATACATTGTATCAGGGCAGCTCAGCTGAGTTCAGGTTTCACCACCAAATTACGTAACACTTCGGTGAAATACCTTGTTTTCAGAGCTTTTTGGGTTTCAGAATTTCCTGAAGGATACAGCCCTGCATTCTTCACCTGCAAGGTTTTGTGAAGGAAGGGAGAAGATCCTACCTGTGCATCTTGGGAAGAATCCATACTGCGTGACTTGGAGAGTGTGTTCTGTGGGACATTCGTTCCCTGAGATGCTCTGTGGTGAAGGATGATGTGGCCAAGGTCACAGCATTTTGGAAAAGCTGCATGGTATATCCCCTTCTAGAATAGTCACAATTAGCCAAGTGGGGGTTCCGAGTCAGGAAGAACCTGTTTATCGGTGTTTAATTTACTGTCTCCCCTCTGAGTTTGATCTTGAGTCTCTTTTTGTCACTTGACCACCTTACTATAGAGATAACTCTAGAGATACGTGGCCCTGCATCCCAGTTTGCCTGGGGTGGCCCTGGTTTGCTCCTGTTGTCTTGGTGAAATTGTCAACAGCATCTGCTTCGCAATGCCCAGTGCCCCAGTTTGGATGATAAATTACACAGTCTCCCTATCCATAGAGATTTACAGATTAAGTACTGGCACAGGTGGCTTTGGTTCATCCTCATTTTGTAGATCAGGCAGAGATTTTCTGTAAAGGGCTAGACAGAAAATATTTTAGTCTTTGCAGGCCATGCAGTCTCTGTTTTAATTACTCAGTTCTGCTGTTGTTCCGTGAAAGCAGCCATAGACAGTATGTAAATGAGTGAATGTAGCTGTGTTTCAGTAAAACTTTATGTACGGAAATAGGGGGTGAGCTGGATTTGGCTCTCAGGCCATAGTTTGCTGAACTCTGATGTAGGGGATGAGGCTGAGGTCCAGAGATGGACAGTGAAGTCCAAGAGCACACAGCAAATCGCTGGCACAACTGGGACCAGATCCCAGATGCCCCGGTCCCTAGACTGTCCCCACTGTATCATTGGATATAAACATCAAGTGTCTCTCTAAGTGTCTGTCTAAGCTCTAGACACCCCCAGTGAGGTTTTAAGGTTCCAATTAGAAACCCTCTATCTAGGGCCCGATGCAAATGGGTAAAGCACAAGGTCACAGGCTGAAAAATGATGGGCAGGAAAACCGACCCAGGAAAGGGACAGTCTCGCTATTTGCCACACTCTATGATGGGATGTAGGGGGAAAAAGAGGATATTTTTGAGCACCCCCAGCCTTATGAGAGGCATGAGTCCTATGCCTCTCATTTATCTGTGTGATAAATCCTGTATTAGGTAGAAATGTGTCCTATCTTCTAGAGTAGGGGATGTTACTGGTAAATTGGAGCCCCTATTGTCCTGCCAGGTCCTCTGGCTCCAAGCTCAGTGCTCCCCCGCCCCCCATCTTTCGGGAAAATAGTTTGCTGTTTCTGAGAATCTTCCACTCGCTAGCTGTGTGATGTTAGCTGTTTCCTGTCATCACTGGGAACCACAGTTCTCTCCCTTGTAAAATGGAGAGGGTAATAGGTACAATGAAGGGTGTTTTCATGGATTAAATTAGATAACATATATGTAGCATCATGTCAGGCTTGCAGTGGGCCTCAGAGATTGTTGTACAGAAGGAAGGAAAGAAAGAAGGAGGGAAAAAGAGAAAAAGTAGAAGGTCATTCTGTAAAGAGATATCCACTGTTGTTTAGCCTGTCCTTGGTACACTCTG